TTGTTAGGCGCGCGGCCGGCGGTGCGGCAGCGCGGGCGTAGTATGGAAACAATAGCCGGTTTCACTACCCTCCAGCCCCGTTCCCATGCATTTGTGAGCGGAGAAGGTGGTACGCTGCTGCAGCTGCGGACCTATTCTCCCCACACAAGACAAGGATCACGGTAGGTGTACAGTTCATCCTTCACGGCCAGCGATTTAGCCCTGTGTTTTGCCGTCTCCATCGCTATAGATCTTAATCGCGCAGGCTCTGCAGCATGTTGGCAGTGCGCGGTGTAGTCTTAGGCAGCGTTCAGACTTCGCGACGGCAGCGCTTCGGTCGCGCGTTCGACGCGATCAATGCAGTCGAAAGCATGCGCATCGACCGAAGCGCTGCCGTCGTGAAGTCTGAACGCGGCTTTACATTTCAAAAAGCGGATGAGAACACAAAAGAATGTGCGGCTTCGCTATTACGCTTTTCCAGATGGCGACGGTTGGAACGCTCCACAGCTGGGGTCATATCCCCTTCGCTTCTTCGCAAACTCCTCCATCAGGTAGACAAGCGTTCGGTGTGCTTTTAGTAGTCGGGACGTCAAAGCCCCTACCCTCTAAGCTGCAAAAAGCTCCATGGAGAAACCCATAGAGGAACTCCAGGCGTGTAATAAAATCAAAATCGTCAAAGAGGTTTCCATGGTTTCCGGAACGCATAAATTGCTTGTCCCGAGTCTCTTCAGAAATAAATGTCTTTTTTCACTACGTTTCCTTTTGAGGTAAAATAAGAGCTTTTCCTTTCCGCGGTTTCAGGTCGAGAAACTTTCTGGAGGAGCCGAAACGTCACAGAATGTGGAAAGGTGAGTTTACTCTTTGCTGTCTAGAAATTATTCCATTTGCTTGGCTGACAACAAGGTCCCTTGATCTTTGGTTCGCTTGATAGGCTCTCGGCTCTCTTCTTCCTGTTCTGTCACTTAACTTAACCAACTAACGGTAATGGCCCACGAACTCATCAGCTCCCCACCATATCCCAGAGATGGGTAGGGCATGGTTGCATATTTATTACGGACCGTGGGGGCTGCGTTTTTTAAGTTGGGTGTTTTCCACATGGAACAGCATCAAAATTATTCAATAGCACAAGGCGAGATAACAGTGGCAGATGGGATTAGCCCACAAATGGATTCAATGCAATGTTCCATATGGAGTGTGCGGTGACGCCCTGTCTCCGCGGATATGGGTGTGTGTGTTGTTGGTGTGTGTGGTGTGTTGTGTTGTTGTGTGTGCTGGGTGTGATGGGTGTGTACTGTACAGTTATCACTACAGCTAAAACAGAATTAGTTGAACGGCTGCTGTAGCTATTGTTCTGGCATCAGGGTACTATTGTTAGAGGACTCTCAACAGGGGTCGCGTTTGATCGGCGAATAGGCAGGAGTAGTAGTTGGTAGATAACGAGGACAGGTTCAAACCTCCGAGAAAATCTCCAGAACTGTTAAAGAAGAGTTTCCCCGGTGGTTGATTTGCCCCGCTTCACGCGGGTACTATTCCCTCGGAGCCAGTTCTTGGTGATATCCTGGATGGGTTTCCGAAACAATGGTGAAATTTTTGGCAAATTGGCAAGAAGCTGGGAAGTTTGGTAGGGTAAGGTAAATTGTAATGGGGCTGCGGGCGGGGGGTCTGTACAGAGGAAATGTGTCGTCTGCGAGGCGGGTCGACTTAAAACCTCCTACAACGGCCCCATGCCGATGCTTGTATCAATTTGTCTTCATCCACTATGTACATTCTTCATCAAAACACGTCCCTTGTTCCCTGACGTGACGCTTCTTGAACGATAAGCCCGTTTTGTCCCGAAAACCATAGGAGAATGTTTCGCACTTTATGCTGGGCCTAATAAGCGGTAGCGACGCCACTCGGTAGCAACTAAGGCAGTGTTCCGCCTACCGTAGCAGGCTACCCCCAATGTTCACTTCTGACTGCCGGGTAGTGCGATTGCTCCGCTACTGACCCATTCCGAAAGGCGAAAGAGAAATGAAATGCAGGGAAAAGATTGCCATCGCTGTGATACCAATAGGTGAGAATTCGTTCAGTTCATTTTTCGCCGCGTTTCTCGGTATTAAACTTCTATTAGGGGCAGGTTCAATCTCCGAGCTGCAGTGTTCTTTAGCTCGTTCATACTTTGTGGCAGCGTCCACTAGCGACCAGTAGGGTCCGCTAGCGTTTTAAGCGCCCGGCAGCGTTAGCGAACAGGAAAGTATAGATATCGATGTCTGCCACCGTGTGCCGGCGTCCACCAGCGCCCGCCAACGACGGCCGGGAGTAGAGGGTATGGGGAAGAAGAAGGGTAACAGCTGTCCACTACCCTCTTACCAGATGTCTGCTACCCTCCTATCGCCCCATGCTCTCCACTCCCGAACGCTTCTGGTCGCTGGTAGAAGCTACCAGGAGCTTGGAGTGCTGGTGGGCGCTACTGGCCGCTGGTGGACTCTGCCACAAAGTATGAACGCAGCTTGACGCCCACATAATAAAAATAATATTGCGAGTTCATCAATAACTGTTTTCTTCAGTCCGCATATCTACTGCAGTCGTCTTCTAATCATGGCGTTTTCCCAACTACTGATCCAGGTGTGTTCCCTAGACCAGAACGTTTTGCAGAGGAATCCTTTTAGAGCTCGACATTACCATTCAGGGGTTTACGAGTATATTCCCACGTTGCTCCCTCACCTGAAGCAGAAATCTTGCGAAAACCATGATGCTGGTTTCGCATTCGTCGTCAGAACAAAAGATGCGATCAACATTTTGAAGTGGTACGTTCCGTTTGCAATCGTTCTCTGCTTGGTGGAGTCTCGATGCTCCTTAATAGCTCTTGATGGATTGACAGTTTCATGAAAAAGGTCTTGTTCAGGTACGTCCTTTGTGCCCTGGAGAAGGACTGCATGGCACCACCTGGAGCACAACTCATTTGCAGATTTGGTGAAAACCGTTGGGAACATTACGCTAAATGTCATCGGTGAGAATTTCAG